AGTATACTAAACAGAAATGCTCAAGGATGCAACAGAAGGATAGATATATTACTTTTCAGTATACACATCTCTGTTGATACTATCCTTCACATATTCTACTCCCAATCATTCCTACGTAAAATGGACTTGCCTCTTTTCATGTTGACATTCAGAGTAAAATCACGTGACAGGCTGTTAAAATTGGCTGTTGCATACACTTTCGCCGGTCTGGGAAATGTGTTTAATTAGCTCTCATTCAATCAACAATGCAGATTTCCCAGTGGGAGTGAAACTATTCGACTTTGCCATTAAAAAATAGGGGTGTTTTCAGCACAATACGAAAAACCCTGGAATGCACACAACACACTGAATTTCGGAACAAATCGTGCATTATTTCCAGTTGCAGAATACCACAGAAATATCAGACGAAACATGGAAACACTACATTTTGTATTTCGGCTTGAGCCCTCTCTATTGCAATTCCAGGAATTAACCCCATATGTGCATCCATTTTCCACCTTGGTATCACCCACCCCTGAAAACAAACTCTTAATACCACGCTGAAGCGTTTGGTAATAACGTGAAAATAAATCTCGCTGACAATGTGTTACTCACCTCCATCTCTCTCTATTATCACTTCAAACGTGCCCAACTGACTTCCGTACATGTGATACCAAAAGGTCAGACACAGATCCTTGTCGAATGTATTGCTGCTTACCAGTCTAGCTGTATTGTCTGGTAAAAGTTGCGAGAGCTGACCGACGAAGCTGTAGTAACCTGCGAAAAATATACGCGAAGTTACGTTAAAGGGATACCATCTAATTACTGTCTTTAACTTAAAGCGCGGTAGTCGTCGCGCTGCGCGCATGTGCGAGACGTATGGGTCTCATATGAACAAAGATGGCGACTTTGACTGTTGCGCAGATCAACGAGTACGAAATGAGACGTTTCCAAGCTTTAATTAAGCAATTTTCATGTTATTGGAAGGTATGAAGGAGTCAAGGGCGGTAATCAGTGCAAGTTGCGCCCAGGCCAAACCTCGTACTTGTGATTTCCATTTGAAGAGCGCATTGGATTATGGGAAAATCAATGTTTATCAACACAAATGTCGCACATGCGCAGCCCGACGACTACCGCGCTTTAAGGTACCATGGAATAGCGTCCAGCATCTAATGATCACAAGTGGTCACAAAACGGACGAATAATACAAAAAAGGAAGTTATTTTGTCTCCAACTAATACTGTAATTATGCAAAACCATTGTCATCGTTTGACATCGACATAAGCTGAGAGAACTGCTAGCTAAGAATGGCGTCATTGCATGAACATGATCAGCGCCTACCATCTTGCGTTCCAGTCGTGTGGTCAGCCGGTGGGCCTGAGTGTGTAAGTCTTTCCGATTCGCCCGTGCCCAGGTCCCAGTCTTCGCCATTATCTGGATCGTTTTGCCAGCAACACCAGCCGTCTTCAAAATCACAGTTACACTCAGCGACTGCGTCAGCAGCAATGCCTCGCCACGCTGAAAGGTTAAGCACAATTGAAAGAATTAATAAGAGAATTTGTAGGTTTATTTGGGATTTACAAGATAGATTAGATGTCTTTAATCATGGATTGAATGTGTTTGACATATAACAATTTAATTCCATATCAAGCTTAGTTACTTTTTATTTGTCATTAAGATATGCGCTGTGTATTATTTATAACCCTGATCCAAAATGAAATTTGTGAAATAAACGAATATGCGAAGAGAAAATGTTGTTAAACCCAAAATAAACGTTACATTACATCACTATACCTTTACTTTCTTCTAGTAACCGTGGTATGATATCGATGGAGGTTGCTTTAATTTAATTATCAAAACAGAGTATTACCGTCAATTTTTCGAGACGTCCTACTATAATTTCAATTCGCTCATCATGGGTGTGATTGTTATGATTGCCAATGACGATCAAGATCGTTGAAGTTACGTAAAAGCTATTATACAGTTATTCAATATAATCGGCATTGTCTCTTCATCAGTAGTATATCTATGGCCAAGATACTGCGGTGTAATTTTAAGCGGAGTCACAATCAAGATATACATATAAAATAACCGTGTCCAAATTACCTGGCGGTACCTCGTTAAAAATATGGATATGTATCATAATCCCCTATCTGTTTTGATAATAACAAGAAGTGGTATCACGGGAAAAAAATGACTGGATTCAGCCTAGTTTATACTTGTGACCACACATTATGTGTTCACCGTGACTGTCCACAATTAAGTTTAAACCTTCATTGATTTTCGTTGATGACAGTAATAGAAGTTTCTGGTAAAGTGAGTTGTTTATATGCATAACAGAAGTTATCAAATCCAGCAGTCTGTCTATCTATTTATAATGTGACCATTGATCATTGCATTGCGTAGTTTAATCATTTTAATCATAGACATATACAATACTGCCTATCACCAATAACAACTGAAAATCGCTCTTTGATCACTAACAATACACGATCGTGTCTGATATTGTGAAATATGCAATGGTGTACGGTGGTCCGATATTTGTTATCTGAAATGGCGATAATAATCCTGGCAAATTCACTGGGTATAGGTGTTATCTGTAAACTGTGGCAGAGTTTGACGTATACTTATACATACAATAAATGTAACACAGTCTAAAGCTCTAACGCGATGAGGGCAGAGGAATACATATGAAAA